TTCCTTCATTCCCAATACAAATACATTTTCCATGGCGAGACGATGAGGCAACCACAAGCACTTCCACTGGTTCACGAGGGAAAAATGCACAATATTACCGTTATTACAGAGCACGGAAGCGAGCGGAGCAGGAAGAAGAGTCGTTGAATAGAACTAGTGATCCTTCTACGACAGCTGATTCTTATACAATTAACGTCGCAGCTTGCGAAGTTTAACTTCTTCCGCGCGGAGGGACTCCACGCACTATTTTTTTGCTTTGTGCTTCTTCCAAAGAAATAGATGCTTTAACCCATCGATTACGGCTATTACAATTGATGGTCCAGAATAACACGTACTATCATGCGCAGTAGGGAAAAGGTTAAATAAATTTATGCAGGAAAAAACGGAGTCTAGTGCCTCTGCGGATGATGAGTAAGGGATTGTTTGGGGGCAATTCTCACCAAGGAAATGTTAAAGATTGTTAAAAAAAAAAAGACTTTTTTTAGAACAAATTATCGAATTTTAAATTTTAAATTTTATTAACCACATTTTGATTGAAACATTTTTGTCTTAGATGGGATTGTGTCCTTTCATTTTTAAAATACGAGGGGGCTAAGCCACCCCCCCCTGTACCTTCTTCCATGGTCCCCGTTTTCTACTACATAAAATTCTACTATGCGTTACTATGATATAACTATTTTTATCTGAAACATGTTCCTTAACGCGTTCACGCCGGGAAAAGAGAAAATACTGGTAGAAGAACTATTTCAATATTAGATAATATTCGGGAGGAGTTAATCTATTCTCAACAATAACAATTCACTGTAAGGAAATTTATTACGGCTTCGCTTCGCTTTATTTAAAAAGAACTGGGCACCTGGGCCGCGCAGCGGCCCCTATCCCATACATCATGACATATATACATTGTGTTTAAAAACATTTTGAAATTTTGCTACATTGTGGTGAAATTTATTACGGCTTAGAAGCAATTCAATATAAAAATTTGCATCCGTTAAAAACAATTGGTAGTTATAGATTTTTATTATTCCCGGAAAAAACTAAAAAATGAAATTTATTGTTACCAGTTTTTACTCCGGTGAGCTGACAAGATGAGAAAATCTTGCGTGACCCACTGGTGGGTCACCCCGGCGTGAACGTGTTAAAATTTTATGATGTATCTTTAATATTTTTCTTCGTTCAAACAATGCATAAAAGTATGTTCTATCATTTCAGATCAATGTACTTAGCACTCACAAATCTCGGTGCATTCAAAGCGCTATTTCAAATCTTCAAACATTTTACCCATTCAATGAAGCCGTTGAGTTTCAAGAACAAGCAAATGATGCACAAATACCCATATTTTATATGGCATCTGCTTATGATGAGGTAAGAATCTGGAAATTTAACTTCACATGGACTTCACAGTACTTCTAAAAGGAACCATCGTCGAACGATATCAGACATCATTAATTCTGTCAGCTAATTTGTTGATTGTTTGATTGAACTTATTGACATGATTCTTTGGATAAATGTAAAATAAATAAATGACATTTTCGTAATCGTTGCAATATGAGAAAGCATTAATTCTATCAACTAATTTGTTGATTGTTTGATTGAACTTATTGACTTGACTCTTTAGATTAATGTAAAATTAATAAATGACATTATATTAATTTCCTTAATCACAGCGATATCAGAAAGCATTAATTCTATCAACTAATTTGTTCATTTTTTGATTGTATTTATTGGCTTGATTCTTTAGATTAATGTAAAATAAATGAATGACGTTATATTAATTTTACTTAATAGTAATATTTTAATCTTTTGAATTTTTTGTATTATAATTTTTAAAACGATTGATAATTGATTCCATCATTCAGCATATTGATTTTTTTGATTATAGTCACTTGATATTTTGCTGTTGTTGTTAATTTACGTCGCACTACAGCTGCACAATGGGCTATTGGCGACGGTCTGGGAAACATCCCGGAGGATGATCCGAAGACATGCCATCACAATTTTGATCCTGTGCGGAGGGGATGGCACCCCCGCTTTGGTAGCCCGACGACATGCGCGCGAAGTCGAGCACCTTACGGTAGCACAGTTTAACGAGGATGCCGCACACCCTCGGTCCCTACGCAGACTGATCCAAGTGGTCCCCCACCCGCACACTGACCGCAGTCAGTGTGTCTTAACGATCAGTCCACTGCGGGACCACTTGATATTTAGATAGAGAAAAATAAATAAATAGTATTATGTGCCGAATATTTACAAAGTTTGCAGAATGCCTTGATAATTTGGGAAATGAATAAATTTCTTAGCATTTTAACGGCATATTAGCTGATTAAATTTATTAAAATTATAATTATTTCACACTTTAGCAGCAATAAAATAGTAGGAAAAAGAAGATCCAATAAAAAAAAATTCAACATAATAAAAATAAAAACGAAAAAAGTACAGACACGGAACAAAGGGGAAGGAAAGAGTTAGTTGTTATTAGCTGCCTTCTAACCTGCAAAAAGTTACTTTCTAAAAGTCGTTTTATTATTATTATTATTATTACAAAACTTATTTGTTATTATTTCAACTTCTCAAGATTTTAGGGACAGATGTTGATTGTCCCAGATTACGGAATGAGAAAAAGAAGGCTGTTGATGAAAAAATGGATAAACTTTCTGGAAAGTTTAGAGTATGTATTAATTTTTTTACTTGTTCATTGAATTTTGTCTTATATTTTTTTTCCTCGAGAAATATGAATACTACTGACATTTTTAACTTATACGATGATTTAGAAGTCTCATAGAGGTAAAATCAAGTTAAAATGGAATTTTTTAATCAGCATGTATTTTCATTTCTCTCACTTGATCTATGAGGGCATTAGTTTTCATAAACCCCAATGCTAAGGTGCATGGTTTTCGAGTTAATACTTTAAACACGTTTTTTTTTTAAAACTACATACTGATAAATTATTTTTCGTAGATTCAAATAAATAAGTAAAAACTGACAAATAATGAAACTTAGTAAAAAGTTTTAAAGAACATTTTCAACCTATTTGTTCAAAACTTACTCCCGTTGAAAATAAAGTTATAAAATTCTTTGCTGAATTTTTCTAAATTGTTTGAAAACATTTCAATCTGTTTCTTAATACTATTTTATTTTATATTATATTTTCTAACCGTCGTTAAACAGCCGACCCAATTTCTTGGGTTTACGACTACCAATGCTCAACTCCGAAGCCTTATAATTTTGAACCCAATCCAGAAGACAAAGGACAAAGAAGACAACTCCTTGATCACATATTAGGGGAAATTTGCCTTCATGGAGGACTTTTGATGAAACTAAACCGCATTTACGTGACATGGAGAGGAAAATCACGAAAACCTCCCATGGTTAGCCTGACGGCAAGGGGACTGTAACCCAAGATCCATCTACCACAGAGGATATTTTACGTCAGCACTTTGGTCCAGCCTGGTGGAATTCATATCGACCAGCCACCACTGGGATTCGAACCCGGTTCATCTCATCCGGAGGCGAACGCTCTATCCTCTACGTCCCTACGACTCTTTAATACTAGTATATTACAGTTTATAAAACTAATGCGTTAAAGATTTATTTAGGTTTGAAGCAGAATTACAAGATTCTTTGCTGAATCCAAGCAGATTATTTAACATTTCCTTCTGAATGTTATTAACTTCTCTTTATTATAATAAACAGCTAGTTGCCAAATACACTTTAAACCTCTAAAACGCTGACTTTGTAATTTTGTACCTTTGTCCACTGAGATCTCTAGAAGTTAATAACTTGGCAAGTTAAATCAAAGTTGTTAATTTAAGATAGTTTCAAAAAAATATATTCTTACGCAGGAAACTAAAATGCTACTTATTAGGCAAGTACGCATCTCAAATTCCCATCAAACGTTATAAAAGGGCATGCATGAAAACCTTGGTTAGGCTACCAATTAGCCGTCAGATCTGCCTCTAGGGTAAAATATACGTAGTTAAAGTTTCAGTTCACTTAAACTAACAAAAACTTTTCAGTTGTTCGAAGTAGTTTCCATCTTCTACAAGATAGATCCTGGATGCAAATACCAGCTGGAATAATAGAATTTTATCTCTAACTATTATTAACTAACTACTCTACTATATAATATGTTTTATTCAATTTATGAATTATAATTTTTTTATTTTAAATTAATTCTTTTGAAAATTTAAATTTTTAAAAACAAAAAAAATTATAGCTATCTAATTTCTTTTATTTTTTAATTAAAATTTAGCGGTTTAGATTATTATTTAAGATTAGATTATTTATTAATATGTGGGTTACATGTTTTTTTGTTTTTAAGAATTATTTTTTTAAAAAAATAGTTTAAATTAAAAAAAGAATAACAATTTATAAATTGAATAATGCATATTAAATAGTAATTAACAATTTTAGAAGAAAAAACTTAGAGATGAAACTCAATCGTCCATACGTTATTTATATATATTATTCAATTTAATTGCATATTTAATTCAAACTTATATTTGTTTTAATAGGAATTTTCGAGATGCTTACGTCTTTTGTTCGTATTTTCTACCATTGAGTTTTTAAATGTAAATATTGTTTGAATGCATTTCCTGTTTGATATATAATAGTTTTTGTTTCTCTTTTTCAGGAAATGTTCGAGTTTTATTCATATCATGCAGGTGATGAAATTAATAGCTGGAGGACGGCTGTTTCATTATATGACACATTATTCATCGAAGTAATTAAAGTGTTTTTTTTTTCAAACGTTTAGATCAGATATTTTATCGAATTTTTCATTAAATTTAAAATGAATGTAAGTGAATGATCAACTAGGCAAGATAATGTTTATAGAAAACGCAAGAACTAGTTTATATCTACTGTCCAGCAATCACGAGTTGAGCTCTGAGTGCATTCAATCACATCGGGAGCTCATTTCGCGAGTTTCAAACAGTATATTATACTGGATGGGATATTATACTGGCAAAACAGGGTATTATACTGCCTATTGCTTCAAAACAAGGTCATTAGAGCGTGCACAGAAAATAAAGTGTATGTATTTAGGAATATCTCTTTGCATGTACAGTGCACAAAAACATGAACGGACCACCCTGAATAACTTTTGATCTAATGATCGGATCTTCACGTTGTAGGAGCCGATCTTAATGGTTCGAGGGGGTAACGTCAAATATGCTAATCAATTAGTGCAGAAAATAATTTAAATTACGAAATCAGACAAAAAAAAACGTACTTTCTTTGAATAAACAAAGCTTTTTTCCCCAACGGATTCGGATTTCTTGCTCCAAAAATATAGGGTGTAATGATAATCTGGAAAAATATGATCCCAATAGTTAGGTCAGGAGAGTTTAGACCCCTTGACATTAATTTTATTTTTAACCCATTTTGTCACATATTGATACATTTCGAAGCAAAAGGAAATTTTTTTGCACATAATTATAAAATTTATTTATCCAACTATAATTCAATGCAAAAAATAACGTTTAGTAAATATTTATTATTTTTTTTATTATTTTATTTAGTACAAGTCGTAAAAATTTTGAATTGTTAGATATACAATATTTTGGCACCATTTTAAAAAAATGTAATTTTGCATGGCAAAATATAAAATTTGAGCGAAATCGGTTGAACAGCTCCTGAGAAATCGAATTTTGAAAAAGTCATTTTCCCCAATTTTTACCTCCTACATTTAGAGAGAACGAAAGCCAATTCCGTCGGAAAAAAAGGCATGTTAAGGCATGATAAAATAGGGTTTTCTGTCTGATTTGGTAACTTAAAATATCCGCCTGCCTTTATTAATTAGCGTATATAACGTCACTCCCTTAACAAATTAAGATGGAGTCGTATATTGTGAAGATCCGTTCGTTAAATCAAAAGTTATTCAGGTACGTTTTTTTTGTTTGCTCAGTGTAAGGTCGATTTAGTAAAAATATAGGAAGCAATATTCATTTATTTACTATGATCTATTAATTAATTTATTTTTTAAACTTGCATGGNAAAACTACATATAAATAGAAACAATAGTAATTAATTTATTTACCTTTAATCTCACTATAAAATGAATCCTTAATCACATGAATCGTGTATAAAACTCTGAATACGAAGCGTATAGTATTTGAGATACTCGCAGACGAGAATTTACAAAATAAAAATTATGGTTTAATTTTAAAATACAAAGTATTTTAACACATCAGCCGATTTTTTACTGACTTACTTCAACTTGTTTATCGTAGAATAAATTTTAAACAGAAGAGAAAATGGAGTTGAAAATAAATGAACTAATGAAAATAAATAAACAGAGCATCGCGAAGTCCAGATACATGGTTGTCAAGGAGACCACGCAATTAGAGTTCGTCCACAACATGTATATGCACATTGATAGGAAACATTAAACTGGTGCTAACGCCGCTAAGATTCATATACCGCATAAAAATAAATTGCACAAAAAAAATCGCACAAAAATAAAATCGCACAAAACCAATCGCACAAAAACAAAATCGCATAAAAAAGGACCGCACAAAAACAGGTTTCACTGTATTTTTTTCCCTCGAGAAATATGAATACTACTGACATTTTTAACTTATACGATGATTTAGAAGTCTCATAGAGGTAAAATCAAGTTAAAATGGAATTTTTTAATCGGCATGTATTTTCATTTCTCTCACTTGATCTATGAGGGCATTTGTTTTCATAAACCCCAATGCTGAGGTGCATGGTTTTCGAGTTAATACTTAAAACGTTTTTTTTTTAAAACTACATACTGATGAATTTTTTTTCGTAGATTCAAATAAATAAATAAAAACTAACAAATAATGAACTTAGTAAAAAGTTTTAAAGAACATTTTCAACCATTAAAACTATTTGTTCAAAACTTACTCCCGTTGAAAATGAAGTTATAAAATTGTTTGCTGAATTTTCTAAATCGTTTGAAAACATTTCAATCTGTTTCTTAATACTATTTTATTTTATATTATATTTTATAACCACCGTTCAACAGCCGACTCAATTTTTTGGGTTTACGACTACTAATGTTCAACTCTGTAGCCTTCTAATTTTGAACCCAATCTAGAAGACAAAGGACAAAGAAGACAACTCCTGAATCACATATTGGGGGAAATTTGCCTTCATGGAGGATTTTTCTGAGGGAACTGAACCGCATTTACGTTACATGGAGAGGAAAATCATGAAGTCTTCCCACGGTCAGCCGGACTGCAAGGGGACTGTAACCACTGAGGATATTTTACGTCAGCACTGTGGTCAGATCAGGCGCAATTCGTATCGGCCAGTCATCGCTGGGATTCGAACCCGGTTCATCTCATCGGGAGGCGAACGCTCTATCCTCTGCGTTACCACGACTCCTTAATATTGCAGTTTATAAAACTATTTTTGTAAAGATTTATTTAAGTTCGAAGCAGAAGTACAAGATTCTTTGCTGAATCTGCGCAGATTATTTAATAATATTTCCTTCTGAATATCATTAACTTCTCTTTATTATAATCAACAGCTATGCTGTCAAATACACTTTAAACCTTCTACCCTTCCTCTAAAATGCTGAGCTTGTCAATTTGTACCCTTATCCACTGAGATCTCTAGAAGTTAATAACTTGGCAAGTTAAATCAAAGTTGTTAATTTTAGTATGTTAAAAAAAAAATCTTTATCCAGGAAACTGAAAACGCATCTCAAATTCCTATTGAAGCAAAATAAACTTAATATAAAGAACATGTATAAAAATCTTGACTAGGGTAAAAATTAGCCGTCAGATATGTCCCTAGGATAACATATGACCCATTAAAATTTCAGTTCATTTACTTTTAAACTAACAAAAACTTTCCTGTTGTTGTGCATTCGTGGTGAAAAGGTCAAGCTACCAGATAAATCCGGGTTGCAAATATCAGAGATAATTGAACTTCATTTTTAATTATTACTAACTAACTGACAAAAGGGCTGGGATAGCCTGGCTAGTAGGGCACTGGGCCCATGCCCAACAGTTCGTGGGTTCAACTCCCGTCGTTCGAGGACTCCCCGTGTAGTAAATGGTGACTGATGCACGTTAAATCTGTTGAGTCACAAAGTCTTCCACATTCCAGTAACAAATCCATACCTCTGGGGGTACTGATCTAGAAGTTTCCTTGTCTTCTGGATTGGTTCAAAATTCCAAGGCAACAGAGTTGAACATTAGTAGTCGTAAACCCAAAAATTGGGTCAGCTGTTCAACGACGGATGTAAAATAAAACAAAATAATTAACTAACTAATCCACCATTTAATATGCTTTATTCAATTTATAAATTATTACTTTTTATTTTAAATTAATTCCTTTGAAGAATTAAAATTTTCAGGATCAAAAAAATTAATAGATATCTAATTTCTTTTGTTTTTTAATTAAATTATGTGGTTTAGACTATTATTTTAAGTTAGATCATTTATTAATATGTGGGTTATTATTTTTGTTTTTTTGTTTTTAAAAATTATTTTTTTTAAAAACAACAATTAATAAATTGAATAAATACATATTAAATATAATCAACCATTTTAGAAAAAAACAACTTAGAGTTGAAGCTCAATCGTCCCCGCTGAGATTTGAACCTCGAGACATTCTGGTAAAAAACGGATCGCCCAACCATTATACCACAAATACGCATCAGCTAGAAAGCTTTTCTTAGTTTAAAAGTGAATGAACTATAACTTTATTGGGCATATTTTACCCTTATTTAATATGTTTTATTCAATTTAATTGCATATTCAATTTTAACATATTTGTTTTAATAGGAATTTTCGAGAGGCTGACTTCTTATGTTCGTACTTTTTGCCATTAAACTTTTATATGTAAAGATTATTTAAATGCATTTTCTGCTTGGTATATAATAGTTTTTTTTAAATCTTTTTTAGGAAATGTTCGAGTTTTATTCATATCATGCAGGTGATGAAATTAATAGCTGGAGGATGGCGGTTTCATTATATGACACATTATTCATTGAAGTAATTAAAATGCTCTTTTTTAAACGTTCACATTATATATTTTATCGAATTTTTAAGTGAATAATCAACTAGGCAAGAAAATTTTCAGAGAAAACACAGAAACTAGCTTATAACTAGAGTCCAGCAATCACGAGTTGAGCTCTGAGTGAGGTTGCATTCAATTACATCGGGAGCTCATTTCGTGAGTTCAGTATATTATACTGATTGCGATATTATACTGGCAAAACAGGGTATTATACTGGCTGTTGCTTCAAAACAACGTCATTAGAGCGTGCACAGAAAATAAAGTGTATGTATTTAGGAATATCTCTTTGCATGTACAGTGCACAAAAACATGAACGGACCACCCTGAATAACTTTTGATCTAATGATCAGATCTTCGCGTTGTAGGAGCCAATCTTAATGTTTCGAGGGGGTAACGTCAAATATGCTAATCAATTAGTATGCAGAAAATAATTTAAATTATGAAATCAGACAAAAAAAATGTACTTTCTTTGAATAAACATAACTTTTTTCCCCAATGAATTCAGATTTCTTGCTCCAAAAATATAGGGTGTAATGACAATCTGGAAAAATATGATCCCAATAGTTTGGTCAGGAGAGTTTAGACCCCTTGATATTAATTTTATTTTTTACCTATTTTGTCAAATATTGATAAATTTTGAAGCAAAAGGAACATTTTTTGCACATAATTATAAAATTTATTTATCCAACTATAATTCCATGCAAAAAATGACGTTTAGTTAATATTTATTATTTTTTTATTCTTTTATTTAATAAAAGTCGTAAAAATTTTGAATTGTTAGGTATACAATATTTTTGCACCATTTTAAAAAATGTAATTTTGCATGGCAAAATATAAAATTCGAGCGAAATCGGTTGAATAGTTTCTGAGAAATCGAATTTTGAAAAAGTCATTTTCCCCAATTTTTACCTCCTACATTTAGAGAGAACGAAAGCCAATTCCGTCGGAAAAAAAGGCATGTTAAGGCATGATAAAATAGGGTTTTCTGTCTGATTTGGTAACTTAAAATATCCGCCTGCCTTTATTAATTAGCGTATAAAACGTCACTCCCTTAACAAATTAAGATGGAGTCGTATATTGTGAAGATCCGTTCGTTAAATCAAAAGTTATTCAGGTACGTTTTTTTTGTTTGCTCAGTGTAAGGTCGATTTAGTAAAAATATAGGAAGCAATATTCATTTATTTACTATGATCTATTAATTAATTTATTTTTTAAACTTGCATGGTGCTGTTCCTTCTGAAAATATTTCATGTAAAAATGTTTAATTATTGTTTTTTTATTTAAAGAAAAAACATAATCACATGATTCCTGAATGGGCAGATGCATACTGGTCAAAGTTGGAGGAAATTCTAGAACTAGCACACTCATGGCATACAGGCATCGCTCTACGTCTTAGAGCAGGTAGTACAACAAATAGGACTCATAACAGTTTATTATTTTTTCATCCTTATAACATGTTTTGTATAAAACAGTACAAAAAACAATTAAACTATATGGTAAACATGTTTGAGAATACTAGAATAGAAATACATTTTTAACCCTTTACGTCTCCTATTATAGGGTCTTGTCTTTGTTTTCAAAATTATAAAGACTGGTAAATCGAATATTGAATTTTTAAAAAAATTTTCACAGTAAAATTTTTTCATTACCCTATTTTATATTATCAAATTTTTATGAACGAAAGTTTTAACTAAGTCACCAATTATCCACTTACTTTAAGTACAAGCATCTTATCACATTTTTCTTAAAGGTACTTTTTACATCAATACCGATAGTTGATTTTTCACCCCTTCAACAAGTAATTAGTTTAACACGTTCACGCCGGGATGACCCATCGGTGGGTCACGCTAGATTTTCTCATCTTGGCAGCGCACCGGAGTAAAAACTGGTAAAAATAAATTTCATTTTTTGGTTTTTTTCCGGGAATAATAAAAATACATAACTACCAATTGTTTTTAACGGATGCAATTTTTATATTGAATGGCTTCTTCGCCGTGATAAATTTTCTTACAGTGAATTGTTATTGTTGAGAATAGATTAACTCCTCCCGAATATTATCTAATATTGAAATAGTTCTTCTACCAGTTTTTTCTCTTTTCCGTCCCGCTTTCTGGCGCAACACCCGGCGTGAACGTGTTAAAATAAGTTTCTCATCTATTATTCTCAGTAGCTTGTCAGAATAACAATTATATTACATATTATCGCGCAACTAGAGAATCGGACTCGAGACCGGAAAGGCAGGTGTTCGATCTTCGACTCCACTAAGATCCACCGAGTGCATGTAAAATCTCTTGTGGTCGATCGCTGAGCAGTATTATGGGTACAGGGAACTGGAGAAAATTTCCTTCCTCTTCAGATCTTTGTTAAAATTGAGGAAGTGGCCTCACGAATGAGTGGTGCTGTCATTTATCCGTAGAGTTCTGAGCTAAGACGTACTTTTTCACCCTTGCGGTGCTCTTTTGTCAAATGAAAGTCGCATCTTTTTGCTTAGTTTGCAAAAGACCAATGACTAGAGAGCTCGGTTTTTCTAAGTATCATTAGAAATGACAACAGAATTTATGCCGAAACTGCGCATTAAGACCCACAAATGATTAATTAAGTAAGCAAGGAGGAATTTTATCAGAACAATCTATCTAATTCTAAAACAATGACTACAAAGGAAGGCAGCATTGAAAACACCGCAACATGTTTCGTTCCCAGATAAAAACTGCAGGTGTTTTTAATTATCGATTTTCCAAATAATTTCTTCTGCAATCAGACAAGTTTCAATGTTTTCTATTCCGTTTTCCTCAGTAAGGATTCATAAGGGAGCGTCTCTATTCCCCCCCCCCGTACTGGCTCAAATGTTATTTTGTGACTCGTAATCTGCGGAGTGAGGGGGGATCACCAAAACTAGTTTTATTGTTTAGCGATACTTTGAAGTGCTTCGAGTAATAGCCTATACACTAATTTAGGTTTCTTCTGTCAATCAAGAAGCTTCATCAGTAATGATTCGTTAAATTTCGATAGCCTTTTTATTTTTTTCGCACCTTAATACTGATTTTTGATCTATAATTTCGTGTTCGCCAAAGCAGTTCTAAGAACGTATAGTAAGAGCAGTTATTTTAGAACACCTTATATAATAAAACATAAATAGAGTGCAGAGAAAAGCATTAGAAGGGACATTTGAGTGAGATCCGTAATTATATTGCAAATAAGTACAAGTAAACTATATTGGGCAAAATTTGTGACTTATAATATGCATACTGAGGTGAATACTAAAACTAGTTTTTTTGTTAGTTTGGGAAATTTATTGTTCGAATGATCGCCTTTAAATTCTTCTATGTTTCTCTTGTCAATCAAACAGGTTTTGATGTTTTCTGTTTCATTTTCCTCAGAATTGATTCGTTAAATTTCAATAGAGTTTTTGTTCTTTTCATACCTATTAATTTTCCATTCCTAATTTCGTATTTGCTAAAACGTGTTTTAGCAAACACGTGTTTGCTTTCGTATTTGTGTCGAAAAACGTATATTATGAGTAGTTATTGCATAACAACTAAGACATAAATTTAGAGCAAACAAAAGCATTAGAAGTAGCATTTGCCTAAGATGTGTAATTATATTGCATCTAATCGTAAGTGAACTATGCTGTGCAAAATATTGCAGCTAAAAGAGTGAGAACTACACTGGTGGACAAAATTAAGAGATGGAAGACATTTTCCCAAATATCTCAAAAAATACTAAAATATAAATAAATGAAATTCGGTATGGATATAGCTTATTCCATGATAATAAAGTATACGAAGCAAAAATGAAAGTGCCATTCACTGGCAAGACCTATTGCCTATAAATCCAATGTAGTCTGAACTTAAGGATAAAAGATGACAATAAAAGTGAGGCTTGTACAGTGTGTGTTGCCTCTAGTAGGATGTATGGTCACCCCTGGCAGACAGATAGCATGCACAACGAGTATGCATGCTGTTAATAAGGGAGGTAAGGAGGACTTGTGGAAGACCCTCCCATTCTTCCACCAGAGCAATTTTTAACTCCAGAATGGTTCTGGGGGAGGTTGGTGCATCGCAATAGCTCTTCCAAGAGCATCCCAAGCATGTTCAATAGGATTCAGGTCAGGGGATTTGGCTGGCCAATCCATTCGTTGAATATCCTCGCTTTCCAGATACTCATCAACCATGAGANCCCTTCCAAGACCTCCCTTATTAAAATCAAACGGAAAAAAGAAGATCTTTATATTTAATTCATCGTCATGTTTTAGGGGAATCAGAAATTACATAGCTTAAGTGCGAAACTTTAGTTAATTCATTATTAAATTTTTGCATCATTGAGTTAAAATACAACTAATCATAAAGTGAATCTTAATGAATAATGTTAAAGATATTAAACAAAATAATAAATAAACATCTCTCAACTTACCGCAGAAAATGCATGAAACTTGAAACGAGATATTCCATGAATTTTGTCGTGCATGTTTTCAATGATATATTTTAAGAAAGGACCTTTAAATAACAAAATTTCAAATTTATTCTATGAAACTATTTTAGTCTTCCTCAACTATTATATATATATATATATATATATATATATATATATATATACAATAGTTGAGGAAGACTAAAATAGTTTCATAGAATAAATTTGAAATTTTGTTATTTAAAGGTCCTTTCTTAAAATATATCATTGAAAACATGCACGACAAAATTCATGGAATATCTCGTTTCAAGTTTCATGCATTTTCTGCGGTAAGTTGAGAGATGTTTATTTATTATTTTGTTCAATATCTTTAACATTATGCGTTAAGATTCCTTTTATGATTAGTTGTATTTTAACTCAATGATGCAAAAATTAAATAATGAATTAACTAAAGTTTCGCACCTAAGCTATGTAATTTCTGATTCCCCTCTAAAACATAGCGATGAATTAAATATAAAGATCTTCTTTTTTCCGTTTGATTTTCATAAGGGAGGTCTTGGAAGGGTTGACTTAAGGGTAAACCTGACGATTAGAGAAGTGTTCGAAATGAGCCCAATACCCCCTAATCTCAACAATGAGTAACACCCATTAGACAAGTGTGACCATTAGTATAAGTCACACCATGGACATTTAATAGGAGTAATACCCAATGTTAAATATAAATTATTTAGTTTAACACCCCATGTGCAAGGTATGTACATTTAGTATTAGTGACACACCATAGATAAGTATGGACATTTACTATGAGTAACACCCATTGTTAAATACGGATATTTAGTATGAGTGATAGCATATTGACACAAGTATGATTATTTAGAATATTTAAAAAATTTATACTTGTATTCAAATAAATGTCACCCCATGGACAAGAATTGATATTTAGTATGAGTTATACACGACAGACGAGAAAAAAAATACGAATCCATAATAAGGTCAAAAACCATAATAGGGTCAAAATTGAACATGTTTTTCGATCACAGTATAGTGTAATCAACTTTAAGAAAGATTAATTTGCTTAATTCGCCTTAAATTAGATTTTATTTTATTTTGTAACCGTCGTTGAGCAGCCGTTCAAATTTCGGGTTTACGGCTTCTAATGTTCAACGGGAATAATTACGGGAAATATTTCCAGGTAAGACGGGGGTTCATCTCGAACGTCTTCCAAAATCGGTAGATAAATTGCTGATTTTATCGACAAATCTTACCCGTAAATCACCCTCCGTCTTTCAAGAATAATTGGCAGGTAACTTGTAAACAAACAAAATGGACGACTCAATCGCTTTTTTCGTTCTCAAAATGTCTGTCGGTCAAACAGTAGGAGGTTTCGGGCACATTTTGTCTCTACGCAGACTAATCAAAGTGGTCACCCACCCGCTCACTGAATAGAGCTACTTAGTTTTAATCCAGTAGTTTTACCGGATCCCGGATCATGCCGAGTTAACTCGGGTATATGTATATTGCAAATATTTATTATCTCTAGAAAACTCGGGCGCAGCAAAATTCGTTAGTACTTTTTCTTTTATCACGTTTTTTCTCGACCGGTAGAAATATAATAATAAGGTGCCGTGATTGGAAGTTTGCCAAGTTTTGTTGGGAGCTTTGCTGTTAGATTGTGTGACTGTGCATGCATTTTGTGCGATTGTATACATGATGGTTGCTGAATTTACATAGAAAAAGAGTGAAAAAAATGGCGCATCACTTCACTGACGTTCGGAAAATATCATCCTTGTTTCAAAAACTATCATACAAAGACTAATATTTAACTTTTTTCATTCTGCCGAGAAAACTCGGGATGGTAAACTGATGGTAAATTAAATGATTTTTACACTTTAAAAAAATTAAAATTTCAACTTAAAACATGTGTATTATGTTTTGTTTTAGTTCCTTGTATTTATTAATGATTTAATTGTTTTTCAAAAAACTTGGTAAGGCAAGCCGTTAAAATATAAATTCATTAAACTACTGAAATATATTTATTTGAGAATTTTAAATTTGTCTTTTACCTTCTTTAATTATAATTTATTTTGAAAGTTCCTTTATTTCAAAAAATTTCTAATACCTTAATCTAAAAATTACTTTCATTTCCTAGCCAAATTATTAGACAAACTATAAGATTTTATGTAAAATATTAATGATCAGGTGATACTACACAGCTTTATTGTTTTGTGCCACTGAAACCGGTTTGTACTTGTTTATGTTCGTGTATCAATTGGTTAAATTAGACGCTGTATAATATTTTTCTTATTATTATTTCCAATGAGCTGCACAATCAGTTTTTCCCGATGAGCAGACCTAGTGCGTTCTCCAGAGGTGGTATCCACTCTTTCAGGACCACCACAATGGGTGAGATACCGTTGGTCATGTTAATTTGGACGTCTAGTTTCTGCCACACTAGATGGCATCACCGAGACTGTATTTGGATGCTAAAGTGCACTAGGAATTTAATTTTGCCGGGAATGCCAAGAGCCAATAAGGCACTCCCGGGATCTTTTACATGCCGCATAAATCATACATGGCCGCTGAGGATTTTCTACGCTATATAATATAAATTCGACATTTGGATAAATTAGATGATATACTATATACATATAGAATATTTATTATATCAGGTATTATATTTGTAGACTATAATAATTAGACGAAGTTATTAGACTCACTGTAATACGAGGGTTGTAAATTAAATAGTGGTAACTTAACCTTGAAACTCACAAAAGGGCGCGCATGCGTAAATAGGGTATGGGTGCGGTGAGGTGGCGCTGTTGTCGATGTGTAGAGTGCAAAAAACAGTCGATTTGCTTAGAAGGGTAGTTGTTGCGTGGCGTTAAAGTGAGGAGTTTCGTTTCCATCGCTCTAACGCATGTTTTCAAAAAGTGATCAGCGGTCGTGGCTTAAAATCGAGGTTGTCCGTGGCAAAAATGCAACAGAATGCTATCGTGGATTAGTGGAAGCCTGTGGCGCAAATGCTTTACCCTATAGGACAGTAGCACGATGGGTTCAAGCATCTCTTCTTTTTTCGTCATTAAGCCTTTTGACAACATGCTTTAGAGCGATGGAAACGAAACTCCTCACTTTAACGCCACACAACAACTACCCTTCTAAGCTAATCGACTTTTTTTTGCACTCTACACATCGACAGCAGCCCCACCTCACAGCTCCCATATCTAATTTGCGCATGCCCGTCCTTCTGTGAGTTTAAAGGTTAAGTTGCCACTATTTAATTTACAACCATCGTATTTTAATATTAGTTTTGCACGAGTTTATATACAATACTTTTATATTTAAAGATATATGTAAAGGGTTTTTATTCAAGATATTTTTTACATACTTCCTATTCGTATTTATTTTCAACGTATGGCATTACGATGTTTACCAATTAATACACGAACATTAAACAAGCGTAAACTGGTTCAGGCGAGGAAAAGCAATAATTGTTGTATAGCATCACCTGATAATTAAGATTTTACATAGAAACTTACAGTGCTTCGAATAATTTGGCCAGGTACTGTACTTCGATAAAATTTTAATAATTTGCTTCTAACAGCTTTTACTTGTTTTAAAATATTTTATACTTTGAATGCTTCAAATTATTGAATATCTTAATGAAATGTGAAACCTATTTAACATATACTCTCTTCTTGTCTTTTCTTTCTTATTTCAACAGCATAACGTTAATCTAAATATAATTTCCAAAGCGTTAAGCTTAAATCTCTCAACGAAGCCACCCTATTGTGCGACGCTAATATTTGAGTTGTACAGTGGAACCACCAACTCCAACTTCGTTCGAATACTCTACTTGAATTCAACTGAACCTGAAAAAGAGATAGAAGAACCTCATGTGTTACTGTTGGGTGACTGCGAAGAATTCTGCCCTTTAGAATACTTTATGAAATACACTCGATATTTGATACCACTCAACTTCCAAGAAGAATGCAAGATTCCTGAATATCAACAAACAAATTTCCCATTTGGTAATTCACTTGTCACTTTATATTTCGATTAATTTTCATTCTATAAAAAATACAATTTTATAACCATTAGTGATCGAAATGGGCTACAGGTGGCGTAGAGCAGAACTCTCTACCTATGGCAATAATTTCACCATTAGCGTGTGGAGAGTCATAGAAGAAGGAAGTACGTTAGTTTCTGTCTTGATTTTCAAATAGAGATTAAAATTTTCAAGTTAGGAAACTGTGTGGAACTAAAACTATATTAAACAGAGTTCTAAAAAAAACGTCATGGAAATTTAAAAAAAATATTTTTAGCAATAATGTACGAGAAATATTAAGAAAAGGAAAAATATCGTAGTGCATTACTATACAACTGAAAAGAGGAGGAAAGGGTAAGGTTAAAGGCATGGAACCGCTCTTCTCCCCAGATGGCGTATTCGAGCGTTGCGATTGCCTATAAATAAGTATTGCAGATATTCCCGATCGCAACGCTCGAATACGCCATCTGGGGAGAAGAGCGGTTCCATGCCTTTAACCTTACCCTTTCCTCCTCTTTTCAGTTGTATAGTAATGCACTACGATATTTTTCCCTTCTTTAATATTTTCCGTATTTAATTGTCACAAATATTTTTTCAAATTTCCACAACGCTTTCTTTTAGAACTATATTCAATGTAGTTTACAGTCCGATATAGTTTCCTAACTTTTTAATCTATTTGAAAATCAAGAGAGAAACTGACGTACTTCCTTCTCTTATGACTCTCCTCACGCTAGTGGTAAAAGCAGATGGGTGTTGCCATAGGTAAAGAGTTATAGCCCATTTCGATTGCCAATACTCTTTGTAAACAGAATAGGTCAGCGGTTCCCCAAAAGTGTTCCAAAGAACCCTAGGGTTCTGTGGAAGGACGGCAAGGGTTCTGAGAGTTATAGGTCGTTTTAAACCAGCAATAATATTTGTATCCATTGAATAATTTGTTTAATATTTCGCTTGTTCATATGCATGTCTTTATGTAATATGCGAAGGTAAAAAATATAAAAATTTAAAAAATATTTATTTTTTTCAAAAACAATATTTTGAGTAAATTATGAAAAGAATATGCATTTATAAAAATTTCATACGCATTTCACACCGAACTTTTCAATACAAAATAAAAAAGAAACTGAATTCAAAAATAAAGAATTACTTAATCCCTGATAATTATTCCCATTGTTTATGACAGCTCTTTTTAAAGAAAATATAGTTCAGCTTATTTTTATTCATTTTCAGCATATGTATACACCATGAAAAATATCATAACACTTAAAAAATTCAGAATTCTTAAACATGTCATTCTAAACATTAAATAGTTCCAAAATAATTAGTTGTCTTTTTTTTTTTTTCTTTCTTTTTTTTTTAAGGTTAGTACATTCACTGCTGTTAGTGAACTTTTTTTTTATAAGACCGGAGCTGAGTGAACTTATTTTACAACATGTGAGGGGGGGGGAGAGAGGTAAAGAGTCGGGTAATCGTGTTGCCATAAAACGTCTATTTTATTTGATAAAAGTGTAACAACTCTTCGAATCAGTGAAATGCTGACATCTTTTATTCAATGGAATGTTCTTGCATAGGTAAAAAGAACCTTTCTTCTTACGTTAAATAGAAGAAAATTAGGCAATTTTCTTACGCTAAAAATTAAAGAGCAGTGACCACAGTGTCCTATAAAGAAGTCAAGAGGGGCAGCTAATTTAATGTTAGAAAATGACAAGATATTTAAATTTTAGCTTTCAAATTGTTTTAAAACGATAATACCATAGGCACTTTCGGAACTAAACACTTAAATTAAACGCATGCCCTAGTTAGGAAAATGTCATGTTACACATTATAATTGATTAGAAATTAAGAACAAGGGGGAAGAACAGTTTCTCTTAACATATAAAAATTTGATTTTGAAAAGAAAAAAGAATATTGCATTGAACACTGCAGACCATGAAAAAGAAATGTAATTGGTGAGTCAAAACGCGTAATTTTTATTACTCTAAACCAGAATTGTAGCGTAAGAGTCCAGGACAAAACTGAAAGAGATAACTTATGCTTTTCTCCGACTTTGTTTATATGAAGTTGGTATTCTAGGCATGAAAATTTATTTCAATAAATTCACGGAGTTCTATAATCACCACCTTTTATATATTTAGAGTTCTTCACAAAAAAGAAATTATAAATATATATACATTAGTGGTTACCAAATAATATTTAGAGGAGAAAAAAATATCAAAACATTATCTGAGCCAGTCGAATAATCAACGTAAAAGGGACATCCTGGATCAATCGTTGGGGCAAACTAGCCTTTATGAAGGGTTTTTGACAGCACTAACCCACGTTTGTGTTACACTGAGAGGAAAAACACGAAAACAGTAAGCATGACGGCAAGGGGAATCTAAGCCATGATCCATTTACTATCGAGGATAATTAACGTCAGCACCGTGGTCAGTGTAAGCTGGGAGCAAAATTCGTATCAACCAGCCAGTGTTGGGATTCAAACCTGGGGCACCTCATTAAGTGATTTTGATTGTAAATAAACACATTTTGACTTCTGAGTTATTTTATGCGCTCATACCTTAACAAGTCGCTTTAAGCCCTAGATTTCAATACGAAGAATACGTACACTCAATTACTCCTCCAAGTGCTGCTCCATGATCATATAATTACTTTTGTATATAATGTGTCTGGATTATAACATAGAAATGTCGTCAATAAAGTGTAAAGGGTTTTTATNTTAAAATAGCAAATAATGCTAGCGCTGTTGTTTTGAGTTCGATTGATTTGCAGAAAAGTAGTTCTACTACTGACATATTATCACAAAATAGAATATAGGCAATTAAAAGAGCATCTATATTAATATCTGTTGCTTGGTCAAGCTGTATTGCACACAATTTGACACGCGATTTTGAGAAAAGCTGTCATTTTACATCTTCAGCTAGATCGCCAATTTGACGAGCAACAGTATTATTTGAAAGAGGTGTGGACTGTAATTGTTTTGAAAAATTATCTCCAAATATAGTTTTTACAATCTCAATAGCTGCTGGCTCTTACTTTACTTTTGTTTTGGCAGTTAAAAATAATTTAAAGACAGAATTCAAAATACTTAATATACATTATTGTTGTATACATTTTACTGTAAGCATGGGGCGCGGTGAAAATTCTGATTAGAAACTGGGCCGCGAATACTGAAAGGTTGAGAAACGCTGATATAATCACATATTTGTGTCTGGATTATAACATAGAAATTTCGTCAATAAAGTGCTTCTAATTTAATTCACATTTCTATTTTCAGGTATAATTATGGCAGTATTTGGAGTTTTCATTTTAATTATAATAGCAGTGTTTTTTAGAAGTTTTAGAGAAATGTATCATCGACTTAGCATAATTAAACATGATATATTGCACCAAAAGGTGTAGGAAGATGTTGTGATATGTATTTGAAAAAAAAAAATTATTTCATTTATCTAGTGCCAATAAAAAATTATTTATCTTATAAATATTTGATTGTGTTAAATCTTGGCTAGAGTGAAGCGGAGAAATGATACGGCCAAATTTGAAAAGTAGTAGACAATTCCAATTATTAAAAAAAAAAAAAAGAATGGAGTTAGCCGCATTGTATTGTTTATGAAGTCAAATTTATCTTACTTTAAAGCTGTTACAACTTTTGCTTATTTTTGCCGCCAAACAGGATGCATCAAAAATTGGAAAATATGTCAGAAAAAAAAGGGAAAGAAACAATACCCGCATAATTAAAGCTTTAATTAGAATCCCGTTAAGATATTTGCTCTCATCCATAAAAGCACGGGTTTCTGGTTTTCTAGTATCCATTGGTCTTTCAAGTTCTTTTTGCAAAGTGCTCTGACTTTGAGTGTACCACCTGTTACAATTGACAGCCTCCGTAACAATAGGATGCTGGATATGTAGCGTAGTTCAGTGTTTGGCGCGAAGCGCCACTTGCCGATTCGTCGATTCTGGGTGGACATATGCTTGGGAATCATATGTTCAAAAAAGTTGAAGTAAATTCTAAAAGAGTTCTGTTCATCCTTGGAGTATGTCATCAGTGGGGATGAGATTGTCTTTATTGAGATGGAGAGGCTTCGTTAAGTAGAGATTGAAGTAGGCTTGTAACTTTTTGGTTTTTAAGGAGCTCCTGCAACTGCTTCACAAGTGACACTAAGCGATGAGCAGTAGATGCAGGCGTATCCTTGGCCGGTGGTCTTTTTCAACTGGGGTGGGCATCGCACCCAGTGAAATATGAGGTATGGTTCCCCTCGCAGTTATAGCATTTGGCGGGAGAAGTTCTATCTTTTTCACATTGGTATGAATAGTGGAAATCTGCACACTTCATACATCTTGGCTGGTTTGTGCAGGAACGTTGAGTATGGCCGAAGCCCTGGCATCGGAAACACTGTGACGGCCGCCGGCCGCCACGGGACCTCTCGGTGCTTATGGGAATCTGCTTGATACTAGAGATGGAGTAGACTTTCTGCTGATTTGCCAGTGGAGTGATGATGAGAAAAAGGGGGAAGGGCCTATAAGCTCCGCCCACACTCTTCTTAAACTGGATAACTTTATGGGAATTGATATCTAATTTCTCTATTTCTAGAGAAATATCTTCGACTTTGAAATTATTTGGAAGCCCACGGATGAGAATTTTTGCTGACTTGGGTGGCTGCTCCTTGGGTTCAGATGGTGTAGTTGTAGTGGGCTCGGGCACTGGAGGGAAACTGGAGTAGAAGTGGGCTTGCTTCTTGCAAGCCCACTTCTACTCCACTACATACTTCTACTACATGCCTGTTCCTTCACTGGTTAGAAGTTGTGTTTTGTCTTTTAAACAGAATTTTGATGTATAATGTGACTAAAAGTACAAGAAAATTCAAAAACTTATTTTATTTTCATTAATTGGGGAAAAAACCCAGTAAAGGAACACTTGTTTCTTCACTGGTTTTTCATCGTTTGGTGATCCAGTGAATAAACATCCCCTTATCTCAGTACTTGATTATGCTATGGTGCTTTAAAAAAAATAAAACGTAATTTCAATAACTATATTTTGAATTCTCTTTTTCACAGTGAGAAAAATAAGACTATTGCATGCAATTAATTCCACTTCAAACATATAAATACAAACACTCACCTTATAATTCTTTCAACGAAATAAGGTGTTGCAGAGAGAATAACAAATTCAAAATTTTTTCCAAAGAAGTATATTTGACCAGGTAATCCAAAACATTGCTAGATGGCTTCCTATTGTTTGGCAGTAAGCTATTGTTACCAATCAATCTAAAGAAAAACTTTCAAATTCTTATTTTTAATCAATATACAGGGTGTCCCAAAAGGTCGTTTACAAACTTTACATGCTGGTCTGTCATATCATGATGAACAAGATTTACATAGGAACTTGTGTCCGAAAATTAAAACTGCGACCGCTAGAGGGCGATAATTGCACGAAAACGGGAGAGTGGGAAAAACAATCNCCTACGGGCACTACATCATGACGAAGGAGTGGAGTGTCCGCTTCGCGGACAAGTACTCCGTAAGAGAAATCAGTTTAAGTCTAATTTGCAAAATTTACTTAGTAGTTATTTACCGCTTACTCAAAATTTTGTCTGAATTACGATCGCGTCAAATTGACACGTATCCGTAGAGATAGGTTTACCACAAAGAGAATTTCAATATTTCAACGCTTTTGAAGGAAATAGACTTCAATATATATTTACCTCGATCAATGAATAGAAGTCACTACAAGACATAAAATAAAAATTGAAACGGATTTTGTTATTTTCCTTACAAAACTCGAAATGCGTCAGAATGACGCTACCCGTAAAACTAGTGTTACGGTGGTGACATTTGGCATACTCTTTATCTTTTATTTGAGGCTTGCGTAACTTATTTTTTTGAAGTGGTACATAATTGAAACGGAATTTTTTTTAAAAATAAATCGAATTTTTACTTAACTTTTAACAGTACTTAAAAACATGACTGTTTCTCTCTCTGATCTTTTTCATAATTGCTTTTATCATTTATATGAAGTAGTGGACGAAATTCTTTCAATTCTATTTATTAAAATATTTATGCATAAGCTTAGTTGCCATTCGAAAAGTATTTTCAAAAGCTACTGAAATTTCGTAATTGTTGGAGGGTAAGAAAATTATGAAATTTGAGATGTCGGCGTAATGATGTAAAAGTCATTGAATTGTCTACAAATTCCTTCTAAGGGTTTCTGAGAGAAGAATCTGACAAAAGAAAAGTAAATTCGAGTCTCTTTGACATCACCTTGTATGAAGGTGCCATATGCTCTGAAATAAATAATCGAAAAGTTTTTGTGAAAAAAATCCCGTCCCCGAGCATCAAAATGTGAAGGGAAAAATAATTCTGGAAAAATGGAACATTTTCCGCTATAATATTTGAACGGATAGTTGTAGAAACGAAAATCTGGATTTCTTTTGTCTTAAATTTTTATAATTGTAGCGTCTCTGACAAATAAACAAATGAAAGGAGAAAATGTGTTTCTCCATCCTCTTTCAATAAAAAAAAATAATAATAATAAAAAAAAATCTTTTTTTAACTCTTCCTTTTTTCCTCCCGTAAAAATGACGAGGATAGGTTTCGCCCTCGATTTCTCGCTCCCGTGATATTTCCGGGCTGGAGAGTTCAGAAGTAACGTGCAATAATAATAAGACTAATTCATTTCGTTTGCCCGGAAAACATTTTATTTCTCATTTTACATACCAGATGGCAGTACCAGGATATTTTTAAGGTAATTGTAGATAGTTAGTTTATTTTAAACTAGATGTCAGCACTAATAAATTTTCAGAGATAAAAAAGTAAGCACTTTTATGACCGTTTTCTTGAAAATTAACCGATCGTGAAGGGGTTAAGCGATGAAAGAATTTACTTACAATTGATAAAAGGTAAAACTAAAATTCCATTAATAATGATTTTTTTTACAAAAATTTAAACATGCAATGTGAAATTGAATAAAAAAAAGACAAAACATATTTTTGAAATAATAATGACTTATTTCTGACCTATCACTGTAGTTTTCAAAAGTAAGATCAGTGTACAAATATTTATATTGTTAATACATCATAGTTGACAGAACTATCATGTATTTGCAAAATGAATCATATTAATGAAATACTCGAGCTACCACTTTTTCTTTTTCCCTCAAAAAAAGACCCCATTCTTTTTAACCGAAACAAGGCTCAAATGGGTTAAACAAGGCTCAAAGTTTTATTGAGATTTTATCTCCAATTAAAAACCTAACTATAATTCAATATGTGCAATTATAAAAAAAATAATCATTCAAAAAGTATTCTACTTGAAAATAAAATATTTATTGTAAACGAATAATATGTATTTTCATCAAAATATTTTGCTGTTTAAGTATCAAGTTTCCCATTCTGGAACAGTGCTCTTTTTTCAAAACCGATAACTTAAATATTTAATTCTTAAAAATTATTTCAGACAAAAAGAAAATTAGTGTGTCATATTTATATTCATCAGTTAAAAAAGAGTTCGAGTCTGAAATGCGATTTCAAATTATTAAAAACTAAAGAGGTAGCTTACATTGAAGATAATCAGCTTAAGGTAAAAATATAATAAAACTTTTTCTCTTAAGGTACTTTTTCCATCTGTGCAGAAAGATAAATTTCCTCTCCTTGGGAAAGGAATTTGTTAAACAAGTATTTGGTTCAACACTCATTCGGTATTTTTTCCAATAAGTTTGCCTTTAACCGCTTAACGATCGGTAAATTATCAAGAAAACGGTCATAAAAGTTGCCTATTTTTGTTAATCCCTGAAAATTGATTCGTGCTGACATCAAATTTAAAATAAACTAACTATCTACAATTACCTTAAAAATATCCTGGTACTGCCATCAGGTGCGTAAAATGAGAAATAAAATGTTTTCCGGGCAAAAGAAATGAATTAGTCTTATTGCACGTCACTACTGAATACTCCAGCCCGGAAATATCACGGTAGCGAGAAATAGAGGGCGAAATCTCAACCAGTCATTTTCACGGGAGCGAAAAGGAAGAGCGAATTGATAGCATCAAAAACTTTTTAGGCCACACCCCTAACTGCTAGAATCTGGAAATTTGCGTCATTCTTTCTTGAGGTAAAGAATATTTGAGGCATTTCATAATGTGCCACAACACCAAAACATCATGGTTTACAAATTCCGCAGGTTTCTACTGTCAATAAACTACGGTCAGTAGAAATATATATTGTTTTGAAAACGCAAGAATTTTAAAAACTTGCTTCTAAAACAATGTTTTCTTTTCTTCTTTTTTTTTGCGGATAAAAAGAATGAAACTTAATTTCTGTTGCTAAACTTGAATGAAAGCTTTAGGTCGAATGTTCTAATAAACCTCTGTGATTGTAGCAAACGGAACTTAATTTAACAGTTGTTAAAATAGAATGGACCGTAATATTGGGAGCTATACTA